TTTGGCATTTTAGTTTTTCAATGGTTTCATTCAAAGTTCCCACTTTCGACGGCTGGTTTGAAGAAGCTACTAGCCGCGTAGATGTCTCAAAATGTCGATATTTTGAAGACAAGCATTCATCTGAGTCTTATGGCTACAAAGAGAATTTCGGAATTTTCAATAACTTGAGTTTTCTTTAACAAAAAATTGTTATCTTTAAGCAAAGGCTATAGTCGTGCGAGGCCGACCATGTGATACCCTACAACACTACAATATGTTAGAAGCCCCCATATGTCCAAATCCATTTTGGAAGATTTCGCTTTTGAAATTATGTCACGGAACACTGCGCAGATATTGCCCTTAGCATTTTGACCAGCGACATTTGCCCAATATTTACGCACTCCGGCTTACTGTTAGTTGTTGTGGTCCAGTTTACAGCTTAATATAATCTAATGGTCATCCAAAATGCTAGAATTCTTCCCATCCTTAACTCTCTTCTAAGGCGTGTCGATTGGCTTCAATTGTGTGATCAGGAAAATTTTTCTGTTTCTGGTGAGTTTGAACCCCTAAATATTTTGCGATCATCGGTAGAATGGAAATGTTGGTATTTTTTCACACAAAAATAGTGGTCCATGCTACCCGCTGTCCTAAACTTTAACTTCATGCGATATCTCGTGTCCATTGTTTTCTAATTGTGACCTTTATAACGGCTGCAAATTCAGGATTATTTTCAGTTGTTGGCCCATTTAAACCCCTAAATATATTGCTGACATCTTTGAAAATAATAGGCCTAGCCCTTCTGAGCCTAACCCCTGTAAAAATTTTCGTGAGGATTGGACGATAATTGCAATCTGTATATAATAATCCCAACTTGTGTTGTAAGGTGAAAAAATACTACAAAATTTACACTTCAATATTACAAGTCAAATTGAAAAAATCGCATGTGATAAAAAATATGAAAAAATAAAAATATGTCACAAAACACTACAAAATCTGTATTAGCATCAGTATTGGCATCTTTTAATGCATTTTTTTTTTAGATTTAATAGTTTTATGTCAACCCCTAAATATTATGCGAGCATCTCCAAAAGAAATAGGGTTCTATTCTGACTTTAACCCCACCTCCGTTTTCAATTTCGTAAGGATCGGACCATAATTGCGACCTGTAGAGTGATTACAAATCAACATGGACAGACGGACGGACGGACATACATAGCTAGATCGACTCAGCTCGGCGAGATAGGAAATTCATATATACGAAGACGTGGGCTATACGAAGACGTGGACTTGCGCAGACAATTTTCTGTCTTAGGGTGTAGTATCCATTTCGAACTTCAAATACCAAATTTGAAACAATTCAGGTGAATAATGTTGCTAGAATCATCAAAATACCAAATATCGGGATGTACCGTTATATGGGGGCTATATGATAACTTGGACCTGCATGGCCCATTTATGAACTTAACCTGCCTACTAGCAAAATATACATGTGTGCAAAATTTTAGCCTTCTATCTCAATTTGTTCGAAAGATAGCGTGATTACAACAGACAGACAGACAGACAGACAGACAGACAGACGGACATGGCTAAATCGTCTTAGAATTTTACGCTGATCAAGAATATATATACTTTGTTGGGTCTGACATGAGTATTTCGAGGAGTTACAAACGGAATGACAAAATTAATATACCTCCATAGTATGGTGGAGGGTATAAAAATTAAATTTTGATGAAACTTTTTTTATTTGTTTTAGTATACTCTGACAAATCATCATGAATAGACTCACGCTTGAACAACGCTACGAAATTATCCAAATTTACTTTGAAAATCAGGCTCTAGAGCAGTTGGCAAATGACCCGTTGTTTTATCGCAAAACTGTGTTCAGTGATGAGGCGCATTTTTGGCTTAACGGATTTGTTAATAAGCAAAATTGCAGCATATAGAGTGATACCAATCCACAAGAGACCCTACAGACTCCATTACATCCAGAAAAATGCACCGTGTGGTGCGGCCGGAGCTCGCGTTACGGTCAATGGAGATCGTTACCGCACCATGATCCATGATTTTTTGTTTAAAAATATGGTTGACATTGATCCGGAGGAGATGTGGTTTCAACAGGATGGCGCTACGTGCCATACGGCGAACGCAAGCATCGACTTATTGAAATCAAAATTTGGTGATAAGTTGATTTTTAGAAGTGGACCTGAAATTTATATAATTAGAGTTTCATAAAAAAAGTGGGTAGAAAAATTGAGATTTGCAAATTACAGGGAAAATTCGGCAAAATATGAAAGTAGAATTTAAAACAGAATACATGTGTTTTGAAAGGTTACATCGCAAGGTAACCTAAATAGAGGGGCGGGTTTCCGCCTCTCCCACATTTGTTTTTATACCCTACAACACTATGTGTTGGGGGTATTATAAGTTTGATTGGGCCAAGAATTATGTAACACCTCGAAATATTGATTTCCCACATAGGAAAGTATATATGGATCTTCCTATCTCGCCGAGCTGAGTCGATCTAGCTATGTATGTCCGTCCGTCCGTCTGTCCATGTTAATTTGTAATCACTCTACAGGTCGCAATTATAGTCCGATCCTCACGAAATTGAAAATGGAGGTGGGGTTATGATTAGAATAGAACCCTATTGCTTTTGGATATGATCGCATAATATTTAGGGGTTGAAATGGACCAACAACTGAAAAATTTCCTGATTTTGCAGTTGCTTTACAGGTCGCAATTATGGACCAATCGAAGCGGAAGTTAGCAAGGAGCTAGAGCTTAGGGGTAGCTAGAAGTCTTCCAATTTTGATGGTCAACGGGTAATATTTAGTGTGTGAAATAGACCATAACATTTGCGTTAAATAAAAGTCAAATTTTCCATTAAACCGCGAATATTTTTAATCCCGACGAAATCACAAATAGACGAACATGTCAATTCTGACCGTTACGTAGATGCCGATAGTAAGCATATTGGTTTGTATAGCGAAATATATACAATGTGATATGCATAGGAAGGGGATGTTAGTTAGAATGCTTATATCTCCAGAATGGCTGGACCGATTTTGACAAATTTTGTCAATTCAGAATGCCCTTTTGGCATAAAAGTATAAAATCTAAATCGCAGAAAAATAAGCCAATAATGATGTTAATAACGATTTTTTAGTATTTTGTGACATATTTTTAGTTTTTCATATTTTTTATCGCATGTCAAGGTCTCGTGACATAATTTTAAAATCGAAATATTCCAAAATTGATCTGTATATAAGGGGGCGTTTAACATGTTGTAGTGTTGTAAGGTATCACATGGTCGGCCGCGCACGACTATAGCCTTTGCTTACTTGTTTTTTTTTTTTTAATTTTTGGATTAAAAATCTATGAAATCCGTCGATATTAGGTAGTTAGTGTGTTCGGCAATATTGCAGATAAAGACACGATAATTATTTTGGCCAACAATTTTTGACCCTAAAGGAAGGGGTCTCTCTGGACATTATTTTAATTTCCTTTTTTATGTACAACCGACATAGACAAAAAAATAGGGCAATATAGGGTCGCTTTTTAGAACAGCGCTAATATATTGAGATACAACGTTAGCTTATTTATTGCGAAAGCCTTTTGTTCGTATTTTCTAATCGATATGGTTGTAAAGTTGAATTGATTGGGAATGAAAACTTAAGATTTACCGTTTTAAAGGAGCTTCCCCCAAATTAATACCAATAATTATAACCTTATCTTGGTAGCAAGATTTTTTATTAACAAAGTTGATGAAATTTTTTCATAATACATATTGTATATACAAATTTTGGCAAAGATATTTCTGGGCTTTATTTGATATATCTCCCTGAATATCGTTGTTACGGAGTGCATATTACGGCTGTGGGTAACAAATACAATATGGGAGCTATAGCTATATCTGAACCGATCTTCACCAAATTTGACATACTAGCTTCTAGACTTAATTCGGTCATATATGCCAAATTCCATCCCATTTGGGCAAATATTAGACGTTTGGTGCACAATAAAAGGTAACTCGGACGAAGTTATATCCAAATCTGAACCAATCTCGATAAAATTTAACAAAGGTATTTCCCAGCTGCATTTGATATATTTCCTTAAATATTGTTGTTACAGAGTGCATATTACGGCTGCGGAGGACAAAAATAAAAAAGGAAATATTTAGTGTTTTTTGGAAACATTGATGCAAATATTTTCAAATAGAAATTTCTTTAGTGACTTATAGCGAAATTTCATAAAAAATATATTTGTCTTTAATGTCATCCTCCAAAAAGTATGCTTTTTAAATATTTTTACATAAATTCACAGAACCCTAAAATGTGATTTTAATTACTGGCTTCTAGGTAAGATTTAGACTTCTGACGTCTCCTAGGAAATATAGAAGAATTTTATGACAAATAGTTTTGTAGAATATCTTGAATTGCTACGATTCTGTTTAAAGGGAGTTTTTAGCAATTTTTAAAACCATATTTTCAAAAAAAATCAAAACGACCCCTATGCTAAGGCTAATATATTCAACAAAATAATCCTCGTGTTTTCTCTGCAATATCGGCCGAGACACTATATTCCGGAAATTTCCTCCTTTATTTAGGTTAATTTGTGGGTCAAACTTTCTAAACGCAAATACAAATATCTTCTTTTTTTAGCTCTACTTTTTTTAAAATCTGCTTTTTTCTGCAATTATTTTTTGTGTTACACAGTTGTTATTTAGCACCTAGCGAACATTTTTAAATTACTTCAGACTTGCCAACGAAACATGGCAACACGTTGTCTGACGTTATACAGCTTTTGTAAATTTCAAATTCCAGTACTTGCACAACTAGATTCTAATCACATTAGAGTAAATAAAATGAATTTTTTAATGGATTTTGTCAAGGATGTTAACACTAAGACTCTGTCTTTCTTTGCAACAAAAGCACGATTACGTTATCGTCTCCCCTTTTCAATTTAACTAACTAGTCACATCCAACAACTGCTATTGATTTTTGTATGTAAAATGAAACACATTTTATTCAATTTTATTTAAATTTTATTAATTACTTTTACTTTAAAATTGGTCAACTGTAAAAAGCGCCGGAAGATGAAGCAGCCTGTGCAAAGGAGCTGCTGCTGCTGTATCCACCACCATAACCTGGATATCCACCATATCCTCCTGGATATCCGCCATATCCACCATATCCTCCCGGATATCCGCCATAACCACCATATCCTCCATATCCACCTGGATAGTAGCCACCTCCGTAGTAACCACGAGCTTTGCGCACCGCTCCCGTATCAGCATCTACAACCAAATCGGCATTGATGGCAGCATAGGATTCAGCTTGGACATTTTCAACCGGCTGACTATAGGCTACAGCGACAAGGACTGTCACAAACAATAAAACTGTGGCGAAATTCATGTTGCACTCGAAGAACGGCTTCTCTCAAAGATAATGTCGGTTACACAAATTCCACGATACTGATGAAGTGTATTTTTCCAACAAATCGTTTTTATACTTTTCAATTATTATAAATCCGGTATTACCAGGCCAACGAAATAATTAACCGTAGAATGAATGCGTATTGCATTTAATACAAATTCAGCAAATTCAGTTATTACAATATTAGATTAATTGAACGTAAGTATGGTTAGGCACAAAAAACACATGCCAGCATCAGATAATTCAATAGATTTGGGGTCGATGTGCCGTCGTTCATTCAGAAAAAATACATTTTTTCGAAAAATTCTTTTGTCTCATTATCAGAGGTAGTCATGACGATAAATTAATACGTCTGCATTTATTTTATATCCTTTTCTTGAAGATTCTCGTCACAATGAAATCTCATTGACCTTTTGTATCTTCGTCATTTTAAATTTTAATAACTTTCTTTTTAAATTTCAATATAAGTCACCAAAGAAAAGCGGTTTCAGGAAAAATTTTACATTTATGTTGCCAGAAAAAGAGCGAAAATATTTCAAAATTTTTTCGATAAATTTTGTTCTATTTTCGAGTTAATGCATAAAAGTAACATAACATTTCGTTCCAGTCCGGATGTTTCAAAAGAGGAAATATTCTACACAAAATTTCACTAGAAGTCTCAAAATAAGTCATATTTCTACGTACAATAGTGTTTAAATTTCATTCGAATTTTATGTTTTACAAGTGAAAATCTGTTTGCTTTTTATACCCTCCACCGTACATAGCATGGAGGGTATACTGAGTTGGTCATTCTCTTTGTTTTAGTCACATTTTTCAATGGAATAGTCTGAAATTCTATACAAGGAGTCCTTTGTGGATACTTTACCGCATGTAAGAGAATTATCTATATAGGTCCATTATATAGTACATCTCCCATATAACTGTACCTCCCGATATTCGATGTTTTCATGATTTTCGCCAAATTTGTCAATGGAATTGTCTCAAAATCTACACAAGGAGTACTCTATCCCCAGGAAGAGAATTGGTTATATAGGTCCACGATATCGTATATCCCCCATGTAACGGTATAACACGATATTCGGTATTTTGATGATTTTAACCACATTAGAATTGTCTGAAAATCCACACGAGGAGTTCCTTCTGAGTAGTTTGCCGCCTGGAAGTAAATTGTTTAAATAGATCCACCGTATCGTTTATCCAACATTTTTTGCAACATTTTTGACCGGAATTGTTTCAAATTTCGTATTTAAAGTTTGAAACTCGTAATGAGTACTACAACCTATGATGGAAAATTGTCTATGCAGGTCCACGTCTTCGTATATTAACAACATTAATCACCGGTATTGTTTCAGATTTGATAATATTAGCGACATTATTCAACGATATTGTTTTAAATTTCGTATTTGAAGTTCGGAATCGGTACTGCACCCTGTGACAAAAAAAATTACTTATGCAGGTGCACGTCTTCCTATAGCCCCCATATAACGATTTCCATTTAAGAGGTATTTTCCAACGGTTTATTTTTAATTTTTCCAGATCCTTCAAATGGCAGCGCGGTCGAACATAGCTGCTATTTACTCGTTGTTTATTTAACACGTATCCAATTCGAGTCAGAATCTCCCTTTATACTTCAATTTCTTGGAAAAGAGTCAAAGGATATAATATTCTAAATCAAATTTAATTTTGAGTGTCTGAACAAAAGATATTTGTATGTTCAGTACATACCATGAAAAAATATCAATAATTTTAAATAATAAAAACCTTGTTTATTTCTGAAGAAATATCACAGCTTGGGTTTAAGCTATGAAATGTTATAGATATTGGGATGATATACAGAATAATTGGTATAGAGAAGGGTCATAGCGGTCTATTTTTTTGGAATAGCCCCCATGTAGGAAAAACTCAGATTTCGATTATTTTTTTTTTTTAAATTTCCGCCAAATTGTTTTCAAATCACATATTTCAAAATAGGCATGACATAGGAAGTAAGTACTTACCAAAAAAATACCCAATAGCCAAGCAAATTTTTTTCTATCCTACTAATCAACTGATTTTTTTTAATGTAAATGTAACCCAAACAAGTAAAAAAGTGGCTATGTTCGGCCGGGCCGAACTTTTAAACCCTCCAACATTTGAAAGATACTTGAAATTTTTCAAAAAAAAAATACGTCGGAAAATACCGCTCAATTGAAAATCGTTATATGGGGGCTATACGAAGACGTGGTCCTGCAAAGTAATTTGTGTCATAGGCTGTAGTAACTGTTCCGAACTTTATATACGAAATTTGAAATTATTCCGGTGAATAACGTTGCAAAAATCATCAAAATACCGAATATCGGAGGTGTCGTTATATGGGGGATATTCTCTTTCAGGGGGTAAAGTACTTAAAAGGAACTCCTTTTGTTGAATTTCAGATAATTCCATTGAAAAGTGTGGCTAAAATCATCAAAATACCGAACGCCGGGGGTACCGTTATATGGGGGCTATACGATATCGTGGACCGATATTGCCCATCTTCGAACTCGACCTACCTGCAGACAAAAGACAGATTTGTGCAAAATTTTAGCTTTCTATCTTAATTTGTTTTGACGTGGCGTGATTACAATAGGCGGACAGACGAATATTTGCACAGAACTAAATCGTCTTAGAATTATACGCTGATCAAAAATATATTTACTTTGTTGTGTCTAAAAATATTATTTCGATAAGTTACAAACGGAATGACGAACTTAATATTCCCTCCATTCTATGTATGGTGGAGGGTATAAAAAGGGATGATAGGTTCAAGGTTACCTCCGCTTTGAAAAAATTGAAGATTTTAGGTACATTTCTTCATTAAAATGGACTGAAACTCGACATTTGTTCTTGTTAATAATTACCGTATGTCCTTGTAAAAATCTGTTTGTATATATCTACAAGTTAAAATAGCTCCCAAAGAATCCCACCCTACATTTGAGGTCTTTAAAGGGGTCTTATTTCAAACATATTTTTTAGCTGTTTTTCTTGGCACTTTACATTCATATTTCGAATAGGCTATCGAATTTATGTGCAAAGAATTGTCAACGTTGGTATGCTCACCATATAACCCTACATCCGATTTGACGGGATTTTCAAGATATTGACAAAATTTCCCAACAGATTTTGATGCAATTTGGCATTTTGGGAAGAGAAACATTACCCTTTTGTTCGGGTGTAGAATCAATTCTGATTTTATTAAAAAATATTGTTCTTAAATACAGCAAAAACCACTATATCTTTATTTAATAGCAGCCACAGTTATTCCTATACAGAGTGTTTTTATCATGGTTTTTTACCCTCCAACTTCAAAGGAGGGTATATTAACTTTGTCATTCCGTCTGTAACATCCCAAACCATTTTTCATAGACCCCATAAAGTATATATGTTCATGATCAGCATAAAATTCTAAGTCGACAATTTGTGTTGTATTTAGGATGGTTGGTATTGAAAATGAGATGTATCGGTCCACGTTTTGGTATAGCCGCCATATAACGGCCATATAACCTTCCGATATTCGGTATTTTTATGATTTTCGCCACATTTTTTCCACGAATGAATTAGGCGAAGATTGGATTGATTTGAATTAGACAGTGAATTGGACTCAGTGTTCGAATTCCGATTACTCTTTGTGGGGATACATGAAGTGATTGGTTTACATGGATAAACCAGCAACGATTAACGCTTTGGAAACCAATACTCAACGTGTCGTTGCTGAAATACACCCACAAATGCTTGAAACGGTGGTCAGAAATTGGACCTCCAGAATTACCTTTAAGCAAAACTAGCTGAGCCCGGTGCGCTTCGCTACCCTTTCGCTTTTTATATGCATTCAAAATTTTATATACAAAATTGTGGTTTTTAAATAAAAATAAAACAAATTCAAGAGTTTAAAAAACGTATTTATTGTAATGCTTTAGTAAATACAATATTTTTTTTTCTTTTTTTGTTTTTCCTTAAGGTGCGTTTACAAACAAATCGATAGGTCTGCCCTCACGTGAACATTCCACGTACAGCTAATCATTAGAAAAGCACTAACATGCTAAATTTAGTCCATGTACACGAAGAGTTTGTCTTTGGGATTTTTTAATCGTCATAGCAAATGCCAACCGTACAGGAAACTGCAATCTTTTCGAACGGTATATTTCGAGGTGTTACAAACGAAATAACAACAACAAGAATGGGTTTAAAATGCAAAAATGTTGTTGGAATATGAAAATTTGTTAAATGAATATTTGCCGAGTTGAAGTTAACATTTGTTGCATTCAGGCTTTCGATATGTCGACCACATTGCAATGCAGAGGGTAATACTCATCTAAGTTGGAGTTTTGGTTTGCAACACCTCAAAATATTAGTCATTTCTCGAAGATGTCCGCTCGTTTATTTTAACGCTGAAACAAACCGACTGTCTATACTTCTAGCAAAATCTGATGTTAACATTTCTCATGTTTAAGACTCATTTCCAGGTGTATAGCCCTTACATTCCTTTTACAATTTGCGCAAAAGTAACTTCTTAAATGATCGTGATCAGAAAGCTGATATATTCCTGGATGTTCTGCGATATAGCATTTATTATTTCAAGAAAAAATGGCAGCGCTTTTCCAATTGATTAATATGAGTTTCAATATTTCACTCTGTTAAAGACTTTTTGTTTTGTGCCATCAATTTCACGTGTATCAATAATTTAACTCAACTCAACCAACCTACTTACTTACTTAGCTGGCTCAAGACAGAACATTTGTTCCATAAGCCGAGTTTAGAAAAGATTTCCGCGCTTCGTTTCTATTATTAATACTTTTTATTTTAAAACTAGGTTATTTCGATTATCAACCGTAAAAGCCACCACCGAAACCCGATGCGCCCGCAGAAGCTTGAGCAAAACTGCTACCACCGCCGAAACCACCACCGAATCCTGGGTAACCACCATAGCCGCCATAACCACCTGGATAGAAGCCACCTCCATAACCGCCAGGATAGAACCCGCCGAATCCGCCATATCCACCATAACTACGCACTTTCCGTGTTAGTACTGAATCTGTATCT